AAAGAGAGAGAGAAAGAAAGTTAAATAAAATAATTTAAGGAAAGAAAGAAAAACAAATTGGAACTGAAAAGAAAATAGTGCTTCGGATCCGAGTTGTCAGGAATTTTTTGAGAATCACGTTATTTTTATTATGGAAGCAGCCCACACGATCTTAAAGTCAGAGGTGATGCGTGCTCTCCGCGTCTGCCCTTCAGGCAGGGCAATGTTTCCCTCAGTCACTCCCGAGCACCTGGATGCAGTCCACCGTCTATCAGCTCACTTTGGAAGAACCTCCTCCTTTAGAATAGAAAAAAGAGGGAGCGAGTCAAAGAGCCTTGGATTAGGGAACCCCTCACCACAGATGAGATTATCCGGGTTCCCACGGAAGTCCTTTGGTTCACTAGCCCTCTTCCCAAGTCTTCATGATGGAAACATGCAGTGAGCTTAGCCAGTGTCTGCTTCTCTGTAGTAATGGTTTTAATCTCATAAGCCACAGAACCTAGGGTTTGTTTCTCAGACATACTTTAGGGGTTCCCTACGTTTGATTCAAATGTCATTGTTTTTAAAATATACATTTCTATGTGGACAGAAGAGATAGTCCAAGTTTAACACATTGTGAAGTACCTGCATGTTCATTTGTGGTCAAATCGTTTTAGTGTAGATCTCATATTGATCTCAGGCTGCCATCTTCGTCACTGAAACACATGCCCACACTTCCAGGTGAATCATTAAAAACCACTCTCGGGGGAACCAGCAGTTAGCGTAATGGCAATGTCGCTGGACTCCCACATAGTCGACCGCGGTTTGCATCCCGGACCCAGTGGCTTAAAACTCACGCCGGATGCGTGTGCATGTGTGCCCAAGATCCCGAGAGGAGCATGGAGGAGAAGGGATTGCGGCGTGACCATCCCCTCTGGGGGGTGATTTCTCGCTTTTTGTCTCTATGTCTCTCTCTGTCTGTCTGGCGAGCAAATGCGCCCTATAGTGAAAAAACCTCTCAAAAAAAAAAAAACCCAATAACGTAATTGTTATATCCTGCTTCCACAAAATCACCCCATTTCCATAAATACTGTCAAGACACACTATCTTTTTTTTTGCTATAGGGCACATGCACTCGCCAGAAAGACAGAGACAGAGAGAGACAGGGAGTCACCCCCCAGGGGGGGATGGCCATGCTGCAATCCCTTCTCCTCCATTCTCCTCTCAGGATCTTGGCCACACACGCACACATGCCAGTGTGAGTTGAAGCCCCTGGGTCGGGGACTCCGACCGCGGTCGACTACGTGGGAGTTCAGTGACATAGCCATTACGCTAACTGCTGGTTCCAAGACACACCATCTTATTAGGTACAGTCTCAACAAACAAGATGAGTTTAGACAAGTAAGAGAATATGTCTCTCTAGAAAGCAGGTGTGGACACAAATTCTTCCAGAGGCTGCCAAGTTTGAGAAAAGGTTTTCCTGAAGTAATAGCTTGATAACCAGTGGCTGAGGATTATGAAGTTGCTAGCTAAAAAGCCCCTGAGTTAGCATTGCTTACTAGGTCCTCACAGGGAGGCACCTCTGGGCACTGCCCACGAGACATGGACTTCTAAAAAAGTACATTTCAACCATTTTAACTCTGGAACTTTGACAGTGAGCACCACAGTCAAGACCTAAGTGCTCCCCACCTTACCACGCAATGCAAATCCGGGGTGTGTGTTTGTGGCGGTGGGGGGCTGACATTTAACTCACTTCCCTGGAGGGCACCTTCCCAAGTGTTTCAGCAACACTGACTAAGGATGTCAGGGCAGCCCAGGGCTCTGAAAGAGAGGCCTGGGTTTGAATTCTGCCACTCGCTAGGGCAGCTCAGTTATTTCATTGTTTTACACCTTAGTTTCCCTCCGACCCAAACTGATTAAAAGCCTCCCCGAACGCCTCCTCGCCCCAGGGTTCCCGAGAACTAGAGGAAACCAGCTGTGACAGTCCACCTTCTTGCAGGTGTCCCTCACGCCCCGCCCCGTCTCCTAGTGCGCATGCGCGCCGCGCCCGGGGCGGGGCGGTCTCCCGCGCACTCCCGCGGCGTCCGTTGTGCGCTCCCG